GCCGGCGGTTACGCCATTGGCTACGTCGTGCTGCTGAGTGTTACTCTGTACCTTACGAACCTCTGGCATCGCAAGGTTGACGTCTGGAGCATCGGAGTCGGGAAGAGGGTGGAGCGGGCGTTAGTTGACCACCACAGCTGAGACGTGGACGAGTTAGATATTCTGATAGACCGTTTCTTCTTGCCTTTTTGCGTATGACGCATTTCCATGTAAAGCGATCAAATTTACCACCATTACCATTTCCAAGACACGCTTATTCTGCATCAAACTCGGTTGCATCTTCATGAGCGTGAAAGTCTTCAGATTGAACTACCTCTGTCGTGCTGCCGGCTTCTGCCTCACCGCATCCACCCACTGCATCTCCATCGGTAAAAGATGGCCTATCAAGGGGATCCGTCCCTGTGCAGATTCCTTGTCCACCCGTTCATCTTCCTCTCGCCAGCCCTCTCTGTTATCGTTCCCCGTTCGACTCCTAATAACCATGCTTCCTCTGGGCGGTCATGCATATCGTCGAAACGCCTTCAAATCCCCAGAGTCAGTCGCTCCCAAGGATTCCATCACTAAGGACCTCCGTTCAGGCACCATGTACCTGCTCAATACTTCCCAAAAAGAGAGGTCGCCTCAAATGTACCACATGGTGGACCGGATGAAGTTGCGGTTCACCTCGAGCGCATCGTTTCCACCCATGGGGATCAGCGGAGCCGCCTCGGCGCCGCGTTCAGGTCCACCCATCGAGACCTCATGCATGCCAAAGCCCTGAGCCATCTCCTGGCCCTTGGGTCCGGCCCGGAAACCGTCGCTCGTGGCGACCGACTCGTGAGCGCGAGCACGGCCGGCAGCCAGGTCGGCGTAGTAGACAGCGGGATGCAGTGACACCGGTGTGGTGCTGCGAGCGTACTGATACGAGTGCTGGTAGATCATCTGCTGAAGCTTCTGATGATCCACCTTGGCCTCGTCAATGAGCACATGATAGTGGACAGGGCGGGCGGTGCCTTGGATAGCGCTGTGGGCGCACAGGTAGAAGTCCCATTGGAAAGGATGGCAAACTTCGTTCTCCAGCAGTGTGCCTGGATGGGGGTTGTTGTTCTTGTCTCCCTTGCCCCTTGCGGGGAAGAACCGAATGTGGTGTCGTTTTGTAGCGATAATGACAGTGAACTTGGGCATTTTGTGGCCAAACTTCTCGCGGAAGAAGGCCTTGATGGCTGCAAGCTCAATGTCGATCACCTGGGAAAACTGTCCCTCAGAGACGCCATCCCTGAAGAAATAGATATGGCGTGGGGGATCGGTAGATCCAAGCTTTGTCATCCACAGCCGAACGAGTTTCGTGAGCATTTCGTTAGTGTTGGATGGGGACAGCATCTCGACACGGTAGCCGTTGGTTTGGCACACGGCCGCGTAACGACAAGCGTCCTTGTCCATCGACATGGTCATTGCAGCCATAGAGGGAGAGTTGACGCCCGCACCCGCGTGAGACACGTCCACGCCCATGATCATCGTTGGTTCAGAAAAGAACGGCGGTTGGCCCCTCGGTGCCTTCGCATTTGGGTGAGGAACGCGGCAGGTTGTGCCACCAAGCTTGGCGTTGACCTTCATGGCCACATTTGAGTGATATTGACCTTGATTCTTCTCAACGTGGCGTGAGAGGACCACTTGGGTCAAAACACCAAAGCGGCAGTCGGCAGACTTCTTGACCCTCTCATAATTACCCGAATTAGCGTGGCGGATGATGACGAACAGCATCTGGACTGGCTTGCCAGTCTTTCGACGAATCTCCCCAATGCCGTTTTCTACAGCGTTAGCAGAGTTGGGGTTCCTGGCCTGGGAATCGATGATGACCGGATCGCCTTTGATGATACCACCATGTCCGATGTATGTCTGTCGGAAGGTGGCAGCGAAGGCCGACGCATGTTGCTTCGAGCAAGAGTTTTCGATGATCATGAAGCCCCAGGAATCGAGTGGCATAACGTTCGGGAGCCAAAACTTCTTGCCGCGGAGATCCCAACGACCAGAGGTCTTGGGGTCAATGTTTCCATTGGCAAACTGTATGACAGGATTGGGCAGAAGTCGCCCCTCGGTCCTTGTGAAGTTCTCGTCGAACTTGAGGCCGAATTGCCGAAGGTATGGATCGTTGCTCCAGCCCAACATGTTCTTGGCCTGCATGATGTCCGCCTTGCGCTTGTCGGGGCGAGTGACAGCCCCCTTGATCATGTTCGCAGTTTCGTCTCCAAGCAGTTTGTATGGGTACCGCTGCATTGGTGCAATGGTACAAGCATCGACGGGAAACAAGCCTGCCTTGGCCGTGAGAACCATCGGCCAGTTCGGGTACTGGGTTCTGAAGTTGTACCTGGCGACGAAGTAATCGTAAAGTGAGATTTCCTTGCCATCCTTGTCATTGATTTTGACATTCTTAGGTGTGGCACCTTCAGCGCCATACTTCTCAGCAAACTCGAACGCCATGATGGCATAGTCTATGGTGTTCTGCTCCTTTCCACGATGCTGAACGCGGAAGCGCAGCTTGGACAGGCGACGCAGATGCCTGAACCCTTCAGACATGCCGTACATTTTGTTCCCGTCAGTGCTGCGGCGCTCCACGGGCCTCATCTCGTTTGCCAAGGTGTTCAAGTCCTTTCCGCGGAACTGGGGCACAACAGACCAGAGGTAGTTCTTGATGAACGTCGCCATGTTCTGCCCGCCAACCCAAAAGGCGGTGTTGGCCACGTCGACGTTGAGGCCGATTCCGCGGCCGCTCTGGTTCATGCGAAGCGAGGCGTAAACGCCCTTGATGAGTTCCACGACATCGCTGATTGGGAACACCATAGCCTTGGAAGGCTGGCGGGCGTAGAAGTTCCGCTTGATCTGAAGGAGGTGCTCTGACGGGAATTGGCGAACGACATGGTCGAGAAAGTTCATGCACTCGAGCACCTTGTTGCTCCAGTCCGTTTTGCCGCTGAGATAGGCATCCAGATGGGAGAGATCGATCTGCGCCGTCTGTCGAATGATGAAATAGAAAGTGTTGTCACGGCGGGGCTTCCCGTCAGCACGGGGCGGAAGGTGGCTGTCGAGGTCGACAGTGATGCGTTCTTCGCCGCGTTCGATCGGGCAAGCGCCCCTGTAATCGATTAGCATTGTCTGACAGAGACGCTGTGGATAAGGATTAGAAAATACCAGGCCAACTTCCGTCCATCGCACAGCCACCGCGTCTTGTATCGTTCCAGGCGTTTGCGGACGTCTGGGTGCGCCCAGCACTTCTTGAAGACGGGACCCTGCTTGAGGGGAATGGGTGAGATGCTGATGTCGAACTGGTAAATCCGACAATCGGTGGACCACGAGGCAACCTTGAACTGGTTGATCTCGAGAGGGACAGGCGTGCCGGTCTTGTTGAAGCCAGGGCGTTTAGCAAACGGCTGAAATCCTGGATTCTGAAAGGATGATCAGCTACGCGTTAGGGAGGAAGTTCGATCAGAGCAAGCGTACTTTGAGGCGCTCAGCGCTCATGTAGGCCTCGGGAGGGAGGTCCAGACGGGTGTTTCCCCGGTCCTGCTCAGGCTTCACAGCTGGCTTGGCAGGGTCATAACCAAGGGTAGGCGGGAAGTTCGGCTTCCCCGACTGTGGTCCCGAGCGAGACCGCTGAGGCGAGCTGCCCTTCTTGGGGCTGCTCCTTTGCGAGCTGCTCATTGTAATGAGAAGCAGTTCTTGCGTGGATCGCGTTGTGGTTGCTGCACTGGAAATTGGATGGTTGATTCTGATCGACTTCTAATTGTGAAGGTATGGTTAGTATGTGAATGGTAGGTCGCGCTGCGATGGAGATTTTGACGACGAGGGGAGCAGGAGGGCAGCAGGGAGCGTGGGGAGATGAAGCAAGTCAGGCGGGCATGGGAGAAAGATTGATATCAAGTGGAAGCGTAGCAGTAACAAGCAGAGACGCCAGAAATTCCCCTCTCGATCAACGTACCTTGCTTGGATGGTTTGGGAGATATGGAGGGAAGCTAAAGAGCTGGAGGCTGAAGATGGATGGATAGAGTGGAAGGTGGGTTGATGGGTGAGAGTTGGTTGCGGGGTGGGAATTGGAGGAAAGGATCAGGTTTAGGTGCCTGTGGGAGGAATTAAATAGGTGCCTTGGGTGCGGCCCGCGTGCCTGCATCAACAAAAGTTGTGTGTGAATCACAAAGCTACAAGCAGGAGCAGGCATGGGAGGGCCTGAGGGAAGGAGATGGCCCTTAGGCAGGCAGGAGGATAGGCAGGCAGGAGGTTTCCTGAGTCTTGGAAACACGACGTTCTAAGAGTTGACGGTATTTTGAAGCTTCAGGGGAACATTGTGAGACGCACCTCGCTTGACGAAAAGCGACGAAGAAGCTTATCGGTCTCTTCTTTGGGAGCTTGTCAATCGAAGAGTATCACTTTTGGCGAAGAATGGGGATGGAGTAGTTAGTTCTATATGAGAAGCGACGAAATGAACATGGTGCCTCGCCATTGAAAATGACTACAGAAGTGGCCCCTCAAACTGCGTCACGTTTGCCTCAGTATTAGACCAACTCAAAGAGCAACTCTCCGGACGAAGTGAGTGAATCAGGGCTCTGGCGACTGTTTGGTGGATGGATTATTCTGAAGGTTTGGGGGAACTCTCATGTCTTCGTCAAACCAACAGGATCAATTCCTTCGTTACTCTGACGGATGAGTGTCGGCTACTAAAGGAGGATCACGTCGTGATCTGCTGGCACACATGACACGAGTTGCAGTGGCTTGACAAACCCAAAGCTCCCAATTGGAGTGTCAGAAAAAAGCCCAAGCCGCATGTGCCGTCGGATTCTTTTCTTCTTTGTGTTGCCATTGTTTCCTGTTATCGCCAACTTGCAAGGGCGATCGCGCTGGGCTATGGATTGTTTCGGTCATCCCCAAACCCATGCTTCTTAACACAAGTGTGAAGGTCTCCGTTGGGTCTGTCAACTCGATCTCCCTGCGAATCAACACGGTGCTAGACACACACCCTGACCAAAACTTTGGGGCGTCACCGGGGATTGAACCCGGGACCTCTTGCAAGTTTGAGGTATCCCAAAGCAAGAATCATACCTCTAGACCATGACGCCGATCGTCTGCTGGAATAGATACAACGGCCATAGTTCGTCTCCTCCAGTGCCAGGTACTGATGAAGTCCGCGGCACGAAAGCATTCAAAGCTTGTCTTTGCGGTCAAGTCTACAGAGTTCTGGTGGCGATATCCTGATGTGCTGTGTGGATCCCCAGGGAGCCATTTAGCCGATGCCGGTTTTAGCTAGAGCTTCGACGGCAGCTAAACCTTCAACACCATGTTCCAGAGCCGATGCAACGGCAGGGATAGCGACAACAAAGTCTGGTTCAGTTGAAACAAACACAAGGGAGCGTTTTGTATATCAGGCAAACTGCAAATCAAGCCTGTCCCTGTCTTCTAGGCCACCAAACAACTAGTGGAAGAGGTGCCATCTAAGAAAAGGATAGCAACCCAACGTGGGATCTCGTTACTGCGTAAATTGTGGTATTATACATTCGACCGCTTGGACAGCGATCCGTCCATCGTTCCGTACGGCTTGTTTGTAGGACTCCACTGCTGATTTCACTTACACCTCCTCTCTCGGGCTTCAGACTTCTCTGCCATCTAGAAGCAAAACACCTGATCGGTCATGTTAGCCGACGCCCCCGGCTTCTCGAACCCGAGCTCGACAAGTGCCGCCTTCGCAGCAGTCACCATGCCGGGCGGCCCACACAGCATAATCTTGGTATCCGGCGCCGGCGCCGGCAGCCGCTCCCGTATGACGTCCTTGGTCACAAAGCCGGTGCCGTACTGCCAGCCGTCCTCGGCCTCATCGACGAGGTAGTGCAGCTTCAGGTTGGCCGGGTAGCGGCGCGCAAAGGCTTCAAGCTCGCGACGCAGCAGGATATCGCCCTCGGAGCGGTTCGCGTAGACGAGGCTGATCTCGGTCGTGTCGCTGTCGTCCTCGCACACGGCGCGCACGAGCTGGAACATGGGCGTGATGCCCGTGCCGCCGGCGACCATGCCGATCCTGCGGCACATGCCGCGGCGGTAGCGCATAGCGCCCTTGGGCCCGCGGAAGAGGACCTCGTCGCCGACCTGCAGGTGAGCGAGGTAGCGGCCCGTCAGCGCGCCGTCGGGGTAGCACCGCACAACGAGCTCGAGGGTGCCGAGGTCGGCATTGTTCGATGTGGGTGTGTAGGACCGCGAGACGACCTTGCCATCAATCTCGGCCTTGATGGCGACGTGCTGGCCAATAGGCAGGCCGAGGACCGTTGTGTTGGTTGGCAGGGCAAAGGCGAGGCGGTAGACGGAGGGTGCGAGGAGCTCCTTGGCGACGAGTGGCAGGGGCGCGTAGTTGGTTGAGTCGAGCCAGCCGCGCTGGAGGAGGGGGTTTGGTTTGGCGATTCTGGGAATCTTCTTGTGCGGCGCATAACGCAGGAAACCGGCCTCCTCGAAGTGAAGGAGGGCAGCGAGCTTCTTGCTGACGACGGCGCCGGCGACGGCGAAAACGGCTGTGGCCACGGCAAAGCCCTCGATGAAGCCCAGTTCTGTCGGGCGGCGGGGACGGAGCAGTAGCGCACTAGGGACAATGAGTTCGGAGGCCTGGTACGCCATAGCTGCTCCCAGTGACAGTGATAGCAAAAGCGCCGGCGGTCTTGGATGTCAGGCTCCGGGCTGAGCTAGCCGTAGGTAGGGCAGCCTTGGCCTTGAGGATGACGGGCTTGGGGGCATTTCGTGTGGGCATGCCCTTGTATTTGCCAAGGTGGTACTCAGCCATGATCTCAAAGGCATCTTCAGAATGGCCTGCGTTATCGAACTCTACCGTGGCATCCTGACCAGCAGCGTCAATGAGCACATCTGCGCCGCCAGGATGGTCGTGGATGTACTTGGTGACATCGTAGACTAGGGGGTCTGTCAGTGCCCATAGACTTGACCTAGAGATGTAAAGCCAGCAAGGGGTAACACATACCTTGACCTTGGATAATCATCCAGCAATCATCGCGGGTGTTGTGAGCAGCGACCTCTTTGGCCGTAAACTCTCGGACATCTGCCATATTGGATATTTGCAAGTCAACAGGGACAGATGACGTTGAGATGTGCCACCTCGCTCGCCATGTCCCACGTCCGATCATATACAAACTCGCATCTTCACATAATGGGCCACCAAAAAAAGTCGCCGTCGCTTCCAAGGGTAGGCCAATGGTCCATGTCGAAGAACAACCCCCCTTCTATTGAGCGTGCCGAGGTTCGTAGTCAAAAGTGGCCACGCTTGGCCAAGCTTGACTCGGCCGAAATGCAGATCATGCCCCCCCTACCCAGTAATACAAGCCTTGGGACTCGCGAAACGGAACCTCCGTAGCGTTACCATCGGCCCTTACCGGGCGGCCGATGGGACTCAATCTCCGACAGGGTCTCAAGGTTTCGGGAGCAAGCCGAGGCGCCGGATCGCACGGCCAGCCGTTGCCGTTGCTTCCAGGGTTCTCAACAAAACTATCAGGGGGGGCAAGGTGAAGAAATTTGCGCTGTGGAATCAGTTCGATGATGAAAGGATGGGTGACATTCGTTCCCAGTGGTTGCACCAAAGGGTATGGGTGGAGCGGCCCGTTTGATGCTGGGTCCCGCCGATCGCCAACTGCCGTGCCTGCGTGCCAAACATGGTTTCGACGTGGCCTTCGATGGGGCCTTCTCATGCGCTAGACAACGGTCCGTCGCCACCATCCTCGCGCCGTTTGATTTCACTGCATCCTGAGAGAACTCGCCGAAGGTGGGATGCCGTCCACTGCAGGTTGAGATGCCTCGGCTTGTCGCCATGGGGCTGTTGATTGCAGATATTGCGTGGAGCTTCCAAAGGATCCAAAGGAACAGCTGAGGTAGGTGGTTCCTACCCAAGGTAGGTACCTAGGTGGTTCCTACCCAAGGTAGGTACCTAGGTGGTTCCTACCCAAGGTAGGTACCTAGGTGGTTCCTACCCAAGGTAGGTACCTAGGTGGTTCCTACCGAGGACCACGAGGGGCAGTACCACGAGGGGCTGTACCATGAGGAGGCAGGTATATCACCGGAACAACTTCCTGTCATTGCGGTCAGGCATCAGCGGCTGTCTGCATCCCAAGCTCTTGCGAATACCTACATTTCATCATGGCGACGAAAACATTCTATCTCTTGGGCGAGGACCCTTCCACCAGTCAGGAGATTGAGGTTTCCAGCTCGCTGGATGAGCAGGGCCTCCAGCATCTCGTCGCATCACACTTTGCCATCGTCGATCCAAATGGTAATCAAGAAGAGCAACCCCTACTACCGAGGGATCTTCACTGACTTTGCTAGGCATTGGCTTTGTTTCCGACAGCGTGGCGCTCACAGCCATGGCCGACATCCTCGCTGCGGAAGGGCTCATCGCCATGACCATCGACGGCAAGGCTGTGCGAGAAGTGCCTGGTCCCAAGGGCCTGCCCTTCATCGGCAACTACTTCGAGGTCTACCCCGACCATCTGGGTAACCACCAGCGGCTGTTCGAGAAGTATGGTCCGCTCGTCAAGACGACCAACCTCGGAAGCACAATCTACCAGACCAACGACCCTACCCTTGCCAATATTGTCTTCAGCGAGACCGACTTTTTCTCGAAGCGCATCATCGACGGCCACCCGCTGCAGCCCATCAAGAACAAGGAGGCCGGCGTCTTCCTCGGCGACACGGACACGGAGGAGTGGAAGGTCGCGCACAAGTTCCTGCCGCCAGCCCTTGGCCCCAAGGCCGTACGTCACTATGCGCCAACGATGCAGAAGACAGTCGAAGATGCCTTCAAGGTCTTTGACGAGCTCGACGACCGCGACGAGGCCTGGAACGTCTACCCCTACATGCTCAAGCTCGGCTCTCAGGCCGTCGGCAAGCTGGTCCTCGGCATGGACTTCCAGCACTTTGCTGCCGTCGACGCGCCGCCCCACGAGATGGTGATGCGCATCGCCCAGTCGCTCGAGCTCAACAAGAAGATCACCTCCATGGGCAGCTGGTACCGCAACCTGCCCTTTGGCGACCCGCAGCGCCTGCGTGATGCGCGCCGTCGTATCGAGGCCATGATGCGCGAGTCGGTCGCCAACGCCGCCAAGGGCACCGAGGACCTCGAGCTTCAGGAGGCCGCGCTGCAGGCGGAGAACATGGTCGATTACGTGCTGCGCGCCAAGGACGCCAAGGGCAACAAGCTACCGGTCGAACGCATCATGGAGCCGCTCGTCGTCGCGACAGGTGCTGGCTTTACGACGACGAGCTCTCTGTTGTCGTGGCTTCTCTACGGCCTCGTCGTGTACCCGGGCATGCAGGAGCGGCTGCTACAGGAGCTCGTCGACCACCGCTTCTCCGACGACACGCAGGTCACGGCCGACCTCACGAACAAGCTTACGTTCCTCGACAAGTACATCAAGGAGACGCAGCGCCGCCACAACCCTTCCTATCAGCCGGCGCGCACAGCTTCGGTAGACATGATTCTGCCGGGCGGCTACAAGCTGCCGCGGGATGCCATCGTCATCCCGGCCATCCACCATATCCACAACAACACCAAGATCTGGGACAACCCGACGCTCTTCGACCCAGACCGCTGGGACACGGATCGCGTCAAGAACCGGCCCAACGCCTCGTATGTCCCTTTCGCCGCGGGACCACGCATGTGCATCGGCTTCAGTTTTGCGCTGCAGGAGGTCAAGGTGTTCCTGCCGAAGCTGCTGTGGCGGTACAAATTTACGCTGGCACAAGACGGGCCGGTGGACTATGACCCCATGTTCCAGCTCATCCGGCCGAACAACCTCTACGTGCGCGCGGAGAGGCGGGTCAAGTGGCCGCCCAAGACAGAGTAGAGCGTGTCTTTGATTTGGTGTAGTGATACCCAGGATGGCAGACGATGGCTGACTTGTAATCTACTATGAGGAGTTTATGCAGCGAAACGTCTTGTTGTGAAACCATTCATGAAGTGCTATAGTTCAAACCTAGCGAAGAATTTGAATTGTCAGACTAGAAGCTCCGATGAAGCTCGCGAAGCCTACTGTCCGCTTCTCGCCAGCCAATGCCGACGCTGCAACTCCTTCACCTCGTCAACCAGCCCATCAATCGGCCCCTCTATGGGAATGCGCGGCGCGACATCAGCGATGCCAAGATTCGCGACCTGGGGCGTCGGGGCACCAAACTCGGCCAGCCAGGCCCTGTACTGGTTGGTCGACGAGACGAAGACGATCTTGCCGAGGCCGCAGTAGGCGTGGGCCAGGGTGCACATGGCGCAGTGCTCGCCCGAGGTGTAGACGACGGAGGCGGCGCGCTCGTCGGCGCCGAGGTTCTGCTGCGCCCAGCGCGCGAGCTCAATCTCGGGATGGTATGTCGAGTCGGGCTTGCCGTCACCGTGTCGGCCTGTCACGGTGCGGTTGCGGTCTTGGTGCAGGATCTGGCCTGACGAGGAGACGAGGACGGAGCCGAAGGGGGCGTCGCCGGCGAGGAGGGACTCCTCGGCGAGCTTGATGGCGAGGCGCAAGAACTCGGCGTCTGGTCTGTCTGCCATGGTACAAATGGTGAGAAGGCGGTATGGTTGTGAGTGGGAGGAGGATTGGAAATCACGGATATGAGGCGGGCAGCGTTGGAGCTACCCCACTAAGCACCCCGCGCCTCCTATTTCTGCTTACAATTCAACCATGACCCAAATAGACCTGATGCTGTGTGGGGGACTGGGATATCTTTATATTTGTTTCCGAGCACATGTCGTTATTTGCAGCTGACATGACGCCAATCACTAGTATCATTTGTCATGCAATCGCAGACGGCACATGTGCAACACCCAACGTTTACCAAGGTGATCTGTCTGGAAAGGGGCTTCAACAGGTTCAACTAGATCATCGCAGAAACCCTCTTCGTGAATCGCTCTCTGCGGCAGGAAAAATTACAAGAAATATCCGAACAAATCCCATCGCTAAAACGGATTCAAAGCACCCGATGGCCAACGGTGACCATAGCCAGGACTGCTAGTGTCATTGAAATCACCCAACTTCGACACTGCGTCCACCCTTCATGTTGCGCCCCTTTCTCCCAAACTGCCTGCACTGCGAGTAGGACATACTGCTGAAAACCCTGCAGCTTCATGAATGCATTGCAAACTGACACTGAATAATTGAGATCGAATGCATGTGTGGGACTTTACCCCCGGCTCTCTTGTACGGTACAAGGCAGCCGGGGGCTCGTGTTATCGCTCAATAGTTCGTGGTCGTCCCCTTTGACGAGCGTGATAAAGTTCGTATGATTCTTGCCTCCTTCTCAATGCGACTGCATATCGAGCCCACGGCCACTTGTTGGGAAGGTGCGCCTTGGCAAACGCCCAGTAGTATCGGAGTCGTGCGCAGGTGATGCACCGGTCGTCCACCAGCACGTACGCGATCTTGCGGCGGTCGAGAAAGTGTGGAAGCAGTCCTTGTCGGCGATGGCGCGGGCACACGACGCCTTTCTTCGGTCTTGTGCCGAGGGGGGAGAAGCAGCGTCTGCAAAGTTCAACTTCGATCTTCCAGTAACAGCCCCATACGCACATGATGCGCTTGCGGTGCAGGTCGAGATCAACGGCATGGATGAGAGCCGAACAGAAGAAATCAGTGGCGTGGACGTATTATAGGGCGCGATGGCATGGCGTCTTGTTGAGATCCTCAGGGTTCCACTCGTGTTCAACGTCAAAATACATGTCAGCGATTCTCCGGAACCATGGCACCACGGATAAGGTTTGGCTCCGCGGTATAAAATCAGACCCAACTCCAATGCTATGCAGACAACATTTACATCCGTTTGCGCCCCTCCTACTATCACAAGGTGCGACTTTCTATGCCGCTCTTCACCCCTCGATGACCACTCCCCATCGGCCGCCGAGCCCCTTTTCCTTGACGGCCTCAGTGTACCTGCCCGTCGCGAGCTTGCGCATGAGCAGCGTATCCTGTGCGTTCTTCAGCCTCTTGCCACCGCCTTCGAGAAGGTACGTTTCCAGCCAGGCCTCTTCGTCCGCATCGAGCGACAGCCCGACGAGTTCAATGGCGCGGCGCGCCGTGTCATCGCCTGCTTGCGCATCAAGCACGCTCGACACGAGACGGCGGAAGAGCTGCTCGCGCACGGCGGCAGGATGGGTGCGCGAGAACGCCAGGGCCTCCGTGACGCTCGCGAGGGCGAGGGCGTTGAAAAGCAACTCGAGCGCGTCGTGCGTCTTGAGCACAGGCTGCACCGTGTGGAAGTAGGCGAGCGCGAGCGTGGGGTTGTTCCGTGCGAACGTCGTCACAATCTCGTCGGCAAAGTCTGGGGTCAGCGAGGGGTGCGTGACGTGCTCGAGGGCGCGCTGTCCGAGGTTGTCAGTCGGGGCTTGCTCGCCTCCCTGGGGGGCTTCTGTCTGTTCATCGTACCTCGAACTTGTGGTGGTCTAGAAGCCAGAGGCCCTTCATGAAGATCTGGTAGTTCTTCGGCACACCGGAAGCGTTCGCGAAGCGTGTTGAGAACTGCGCGCGGTTGTCGTGGCCGTCGGTGTCGAGGAGCAGGTAGTAGAAGATGGACAAGCGGTGGTGCGTTGAGATGTCGGCTTCACAGAGCGTCTTGTGTAGGTTTCGCAGCGCAGTGTCATTTTTCGGAGGATAACTCTTCGCTGAAACTTGTTAGACGGGTTGCGCGACACATTCTTTTGCATGCTCAAGTACCTTTGGACAGGCCCAGGGCATTCAAAACGCGGTCAATGAAGAGAACACCGTCAGAACCCTTGCGGAACGTCTCAATCTCCTGGAGGGCCTGCTTGTTATAGGGGTTTCCTACAGGAGACCCGAAGACCTCGTCAAAGTTGGCGTAGTCAAGCATGGCTGCGGCGAAAGGGAGGATGGCCAATGGCTACTGGCGACGTCGCGACAGAATCGTCTATGGGTGTTGAGGTGCAGACCAAAGCTCCCCACTCTCCGTAGCTCAATCCCTTCGCGAATTCACGTGATGACGTAAAGTGGCTCGTGCCGAAGCAGTGGCTTCTTGTGGCTTGTTTGTTTACAATCGCCCGCCTAATCTGGTGG